TAATCAAGAAAGGACTTGTATCGCTAAAGATCCTCGGAAGAATATCTACCAGAAACAAACAAACAAGCAGATATGTAACAAATTGGTGTCAGAGAGTGGGACTGTAAAGAAGAAAAAAAAAAAAGATGGAAACGAGAAGTGGCAAATCAAACTACAGCTTATCAAATTTGATGGCAGCAATACAAGAACAGCAAAAGAAACAAGAAGAACGAGAAAAGAAACAAGAAGAGAGACAACAGCACTTGCAAGAAAACCTGCAACAGTGGCAGCTCGAACAGCAAAATAAACAAGAAGAGAGATTACAGCAGTTGTTGGGGAAAAAGAAAAGAAACAAGAAGCGAGATTACAGTAGTAGTTGGAGTAAAAAGAAAAGAAACAATTAGAAAGAGAAAAGAAGCAAGAAGAGAGATTACAACAGTTGTTGGAGGAAAAAAAAGAAGATAGATTACAGCAGTGGCAAGATAACTTGCAACAGTAGCAGCTCGAACAGCAAAATAAACAAGAGAGATTACAGCAGTGGTTGGAAGAGAAAGAAAATAAACAAGAAGAGAAACTACAGAAGTGGTTAGAGGAGAAAGAAAATGAACAAGAAGAAAGACTACAGCAGTGGATGGAGGAGAAAGAAAATAAACAAGAAGAAAGTCTCCAACAATTAAGAGAAAGCCAGAGTACAATTTCAAAGCGAATTAAATACACTAAAGAATGATTTACTGTCTTTCACACAGAGAGGATATATTAGCCGTCAACCTAATCAGCCTCAGACAACGGGAAGCCCCTTCCAGACTCTGCAGCTAAACCCTAGTGCAGACATCTTCAGTCCAGTCAGAAGTCACATTCCAGACATGAGTGTCAGTAATAGAAGTGATCCAGTACGAAGGAAGCCACAAGAATTCGAAGGGAAGGCACCGTGGGAAGCATATAGAGCACAATTTGAGCTCCTGGCAGAAAGGAATGAATGGACAGAGGAGCAGAAAGCAGTATATCTGGCAACGAGCTTGAAAGAACAACGACTGGAAATGCTTGGACAGTTGTCAGCAGACGACAGGCACAACTATAGCGCACTAGTAGCTGCTCTAGAACTCGGGAAGGGAACCCAAAATCAGTCAGAAGTCTACATGGCTGGGTTTAGGACTAGAGTCCGTGTTAAAGGGGAGAGCATGCAACAGTTGGCACCAGACTTGGAAAGTATGGCACTCAAGGCCTACCCAACTGCCCCACCCAATCTCCTCAAGTTGTTGCTGAGGGATCAGTTTGTAGATGCCTTGGACAGTCCACATCTGAAGATACAAGTGAAGCAAGCACACCCCTCTATTATGCAGGATTCAAGGCCAGAAAAGGGCAGCTTTCAAAGACGTTTGAGGGACTTTGCTGGCACTGTAATAAACCTGGGTACAAGAAAGCTCAATGCTGGAAACTTCAACACAGGGAAGATGCCATGGCAGGAAAGGTTGCTTCCCAGAAAGGTTGTTGGAACTGTGGAGAGCAAAGACATATGAGGAGCCAGTGAAAGAAGAATACTACCAATAAGTCTGCTTCGGGAAACCAGTAGTGGTTGGTGCTGAGGGACGCCCACCAACTCCCATCGTGAAAATCCCAACAGCTAAGTGTAAAATGGCAAGCACACATAATGTCTACGTGACATGGAGCTGGATGGCCAAAGGTGCGACTTTGTCATGGATT